CAAAAAAGTGCTAAGTATCTGATTAGCGGAGAAAAGCAGCAGAAAAAGCAGTCCGAAATGTTATAGAGAAAGATAACATAGTGGCTACTAGCTAGTAGCTAGCAGCCGGTGAGGGTCGGCATGGGCCTAAGGGGTGTCCATGGGCCTAATTAGTCAGCTTCTAGCGGAGTTCTTGCCGTTTTTCACATTTTGAAAGTAGCGCAGCCTCAAAAATCGCCTTCCGGATCGTCCGACACATTTGAGAGGTCATAGCCTTATTTTATCGCGGAATGTGCCTTTAAAGAGCTGTTGCCCATCCAAATATGTATGAATCCAGTGAAAAATTTTAGTAGTGTGGATAAAGAGATTATTAATTTCAGATATTCATCGTTTATTAAGATTCACTGCCCCATTCTTTCAAAAGCGGGCCAGTTTTCTTTTCCGCGGGCAGAATTGATTCGATTCGATTCCAGGGTAATTCGACTTCCTGAGCACGACTATCACATTCGCTCGTCCCGAAATCGCTGTTCTTCCGCTTTACAGGCAATGACACCACATGCGTATTTTGACTCCGGTACGAGTAGCGCAGACTCCTGGTAGATGGAGAAACACGGTCAGGAAAGGCAGTAGTCTTCCTGGTTACCTGCGACAACGGTCCCTCGCTTCTCTGAGGCACAGTTTTTGCAAGGGTAGAGACTACTCTCTCGGAAGGAGGGTGCAGAAGGGTACATCACCGCAACCTGTCGGTTCGCAATCAGCGGTCGCGACCTGCGGCATTGCCACCACTGGTGGTTCTTCCTCCTGAGTCGATCACTTCCCGATCGCCATTGGTAGAGCAAGGCAGCCGCACCGCGCTGCGCTCGCCGCCCCCGACAATTGTGTTACACACTATACATTTTTCTTCCAATGACAATGAAGCCGATGTGAGCTCGTTCCCAGACTTCTTCTCGTTTGCCATGAGATGAAGCTACGCTGTCACGACTATATGAATATGATTCTTCTCCATTCATCTTAACCATCAAGCCCTGACATTACCCCGACCGTAACAAGTACCAACTTTTCGGACCGTGACTCATCATCTAGAACGGCGCCACAACGAAGAAATTCAAGTTTGCCGTCTTCCCTGCCAGCATAGATAGCGGAGGACAGTTAAGGGATTGAAAACTATTCATAAGAAAATGAGCAGGAGGTATTCTTCTAGAATTTAAAAGCCAAATTTTCCTTATAAAATTTGGATCATACACTGGAAGACTCCATGATGCTGTATCAAAAACCCTTCAAAAACACAAATAAAACAAGCTTACGCGAGAGCGATGGTCCCATCCGGTGAGAGCGTGTTTGGATCCAAGAATACCTCACCTTTCTCAGTCAAGTTCTTCTGTTGGTAAAGCACGCTGAATCATACAAAGCACTACTCATACAATATTTGGAAAAAACCCCTCATCAAAAGTTAAATCTTCTGAATCTCACGATTGATTCTGAAGCCCAGTATTATATTCGTAGTAGTAGAAATCTCCCCATTTTGATGGACAGCTGTATTTCTCATAATCCCATAATTCGGTAAGCCTGTGGTGGCAATTGTTACAACAGGAGAAAATTTCACCACTATACCACGGAACCATACCAACCGTTTTCTGATCTTATCGCGACTTGGAGCTTTGGCTAGGAACGATTCCGAGATCGCATTAAGCTGATCGACAAAGTGACGCGTCTCTTCAGCGTCAGGATCCTCCATCCAGCGGTATGGATCAGGGACCTGTGTAACGGTTGTGGATAGTTTTAATTTTCTCCAATTTGCCTAGCATCATGAATGCCCAAAAGGAAACTTATACAAGGAGATATTGGTGCAAAAGTTGTTGAAGAACGTTATAGACTTACCTCCGAGTACGGTCCATGCGAGATGAACGGACCCGAGAGCTGCCAGCGTGCCAATTTCTCCGCTCAAAAGTGCACGAAAAGGGGGCTAAGGGAAGACGAAAAGAAAAGCGGTAGGGATCCGAGTGGCGTTTTTATACTCCACCACTCTGGTTACCGCACTTGCGTCTATACCAAGGTCCTGCAGCGAAATTCGCACTGAGCGATAGGAATAACTAGGAATGAGAGGGCGCAGGAGAATAGGAAGTTTGGTTATATTCAAGAGGGTGGCAGGGCGGTGGGAGGTAGGAGACAGTACCGGGGTATCACTGCCCTCCAATCCTTCCCGTGCACTTTTGGCTGGAGTATGTTGCGCGCTACGCCTCGGGTTTAGTTAGTTTGAGAATTATTTTTAGTTATTAGTTCGAGATTCTAATCGAGTCGTACGACCCTCTCCTTCTTCTCAGGGGGTTGATACGATACCCTCTCGTTCCCTACTCATCGATCGAGCGTGGTGGGTATACGGAGGTTCTGCAGAGGTTATTGAGTATGGAAACCATTTTTCAAGGAAGAATTGGTCTGCCCACTCCGGGACTCCTTCCATTTCCTCAAGCTCAGACCGAAGTCCCCATCACCTGGTTCACACTTCTTCGCATTATCAGTGCCAAAAGCAACCGGTTCGCATCATTCAATGCAAAAGCAACAAAAAAAAAGCGCATAAGAATCAGCCGTGAAAAGTGGAATTAGCAACCAAGTGACTCGTGCCTTCTGGGGCTTGTTCCACCACACCCAATCCCGCATACTATAGATTCCACAAAAGGCCCGGCAATATCGGACTCGTGCCAAAAGATGGTTAATGCTCTCAAGTAAGAGTTGTCACCTCTCCGACCATTGATACATGCACGAAAGACTAAAAAATGAGAATTGCTCGCAATGAAATGCAACCCACAGAGTGCGATCACAGGCTTAGGTACGAAAATTCGGAGAAAAATTTAAGGTGCAACGCCTGAAACGACAATCTGAAATTGTCAATGGGGTCCCCTTCCAAAGGAACGGTTCCATCAATTCCGAAGTGCCGGACAAATCCACATAACTCCTCTATCCCCTCGAGCCAGAGTAAGGCGTTCAATTTAGACATGGCACGAATTGATTACTTGCTGGAATATGCAGTCTGGGACATAACTGTCATCTGTTCTGTGTTGGACAATAGACACGAACAGAAACAATTGTGTTCAAGATGAAAATATCTCACGCAGAAAGCATAAACACCTTCAGTTGAAGTTTGAAACATGCCGAACCACGCTAACCCGATCTTCAGGGTATCTGAGTATACTGGACATCACCGCTGAAATACCGAGTCAATCGAAAGTCGATAAGATAATACCAACCTTATAAAGTTGGACTGACCAAAGGGAACATTTTATAAACGATGTTTAGATCTCATCTTGATGAATCAATACAGTAAAACTCATAACTCGAACGTGTCACTGTCCAGACAATCAAACCGACCTAAATCCATGAAAGTTCCACAATGACCATCATCACGAAAAGAGCATTTGATAGACAGATGAGAAATTTGAATGACCGACGTGCGGAGAAATGCTTCAATGTTGACCCAAGTCCGGCGTGTCGATGAGTTTTTGTTAGCAATTAAAACTTGGTGCGCACGCAATCGAGTGAATTGAAGAAAATCAAATGGAACGTTCGACTTAGAACTCACGTTACGGTAAGAATCTGCGAGCGTTGTAGGTGACATACTCAGCAAAAGTACCGTGAAGAAGAGGACGTTAGTATGCAACATCGCCTTAACTGCTCTGTGATCTGGTAAAGAACCCAGAACTTCAAAATGGTCCAGACGAACCTTGTTAAACTGGTTTCCCTTAAACGGGCAGTTTATGCCGTCACACAGAGTTTCTATCGTAAAAATGGGAAAGAAACACAGGAGTATAGAGTAAGTTGCTCACTTTGCTTTGCCATATTCATAGAATAACACCAAGATGAAAAAGTGATTGCGAAAAGAGTTGAAGACGCGGAACATCTGAGCAAGAACAATCTACCTAATGGGAACAAGGCCAAGTGCTGACAAAAACGAAGAAAAAGATAACTGCTCTAGAGAGAGAAAAATCCGTTTGCCTTTTCGATACTCTAATTGCCCCTGATAAGTGTTGTGTATCGCTATGTATATACACAGATTGAGCATATTAGGTATTATGGTTACCTATGGATAACCTCGTCATCCGGGCAGTTGATTAGGGCGGTCGTCAACGGGCCGCAGCGCGTGCCAGGAACTATTTGCTTTTTCCAGGCTAATTTAGTCATTTTTTCCAACTTTTCACTGTTTTGGCTACTTTTTCCCAGATTAGCAGCTCCTTATCTTCACAAGTGGAAAAAAATGACTAATGAAACCTGGAAAAAAGCAAATAGTCCTGGCAAACCGCTGCGGCCCGTTACGACCGCCCTTAAATTCAACTGCCGCGATACGAGAGAATGTGATCAGCGCGCGAAAATACAGCGCTATAGAACGTGTGACGGCAGGTGCATTGTTATTCTCCTGCCTCCAGCTCTCACTGCTAGTGGGCTAGCCTACGAGTAGTCGCGTTTTTCTTCTTACACACTATGAAAAATTGTCTGTAATGTGTTTTATGCTGCTTGATCGACAATTTCCTGCCATCTAGGCTTTCAGATTGCGGAAGAGTCTAAAAACAAGTGAAGTATGTAAACAAGGAACGATGCTCACTAGGACAGAAAGAAACTCCTCATATTCCATTTGCAACTTGGAGAGGGGCATCTCATGGAGCCCCTTCTTGGGGTCGACAGCCTGCAGAACCCATCTATATCGAGCAAAGGCGATGCTCATTTTCATCAAGTGAAGGAGTGCTCAATGGAAACGTTAACCTTTCATACTACGACATCACCATTCCCCGCACCTGGCATACGATTCTCCCTGAACATGTGATTGCCAGTTTAGCTCTCAGTTGGGCTCATCAGGACACTATGCCCGATGCTTCTCTGTGAGGTCGAAAGTGAAATCTTGGAATGGATCAACCGTTATACCGTTATAAGCAATTCTAAAAGACAGCTTCGACCACATACACATATGTACTCAACGAACAGGCCTGTGTCGTTTCAGCGTTTCAATTGATGAAAAAAGAGATGCTGTCGAAAATACCAAAAATAGGGGGGGTAAAAAAGTCATTCGTGGGACCAGATCGCGTGAATTACGAGAACTTTATAAAATTTTTAGGACATTTTTACTACATATAAAGAGCACATTAAATACTATAATTGATACCGCCAACAGCTTCTGGAGGAGCGCCATCGAGAGTTCGGCCGCGCGAAAGTGAGTGGGTACCGGAGTTGAGCGAGATCGTTGATTTCTCCGCCACTGTAGACCACCCTGTTGAGCTCCGCCCGAACCGAGTAATTGAGGGGGTTCAGGACGCAGCCCGCTACAAATAGCTTCCATCTTTTCAGTCACTTCAACGTTCTTACCCACTCCAATGTAGGCAAAGTTTTCCAACGCCCTTCTGATTAAATTTGTTGTCAAAGGCAAATCCTGGTAGCAGTACAGTCAAGAAGGACGGGCGAACGACATGAAAGACCGGGATATTCTCCCCGAGTTGCTCGATGTAGCCACCAGCGCAAACCCTCAGTCTGACATGAGGCCCACGAAAGAAAATATCGGTTCATCCATTCCAGGTACGGCGTCCACACCATCAACCCGCGCCTTGGTGAATGGGGTGAAGATGATATCCTGCACCGTAGCGACGTTGCCGGACTGCTCGATGTTTGAGTTTTGCCAGATCAAAAAGATACTGGTCTCCAGGTAAGCTCGCATGGTGATTTCCATTCAAGAAGTTCCCCGCTGGCTCTTTGGAGGCCCGGAATTCCAAAGGCTTCTCAGCACTCAGCGCCCGCGACTCGGAGATGACTATAATTTGGTGTACATTGAAGTGAATGCGGCAGCCGCGCTCCCTGCCGTAGGAGAATCTGGGTATCTTCCGCCCTGGTACTCATATCCACTTCCTCTGTCTGGGCTGCGAAAACTTCGCTCATATGTGACTCGGCCGGAATGACTTTTTTTGCCCCCCCCCTGTACATTCGCCAACTCCGATACTCCGAGTTTGAGCGCTTAGAAAATAATGGGACGGAATCTCAAAAAACCAATGAGGCCCACCTTAAGACAGGAATCTCTTGCAAAACAGTCGTGGGCGAAACGCCATTACTCGTGGGCCAACCCGATCCTCTCTCCTAGTAATCACTCTATATTGTGTTCTGCTGTTACTACTGAAAGACTTGGATCGATCTCGGCTGCCTACATAAAGGACAGGACGGGACGACACAACTGCAAAATAAAACAGTAAGAGAGAAGCTGCCCAGCACTGAAGTAAACACTATGTACGACAATGACAAGGCAGAGAGTTTCATTGAAAGGAAATGGGGGCAGGACATTAATTGTAAGGCGAAGAGAGAAAGTGTTTCTCATCAGCATGTCTGCACCATATATAATCCTTAACTGCGACCTGTATGGCCGAAGAACGACTTATTGATACTTGACAGTTACACCCCATACTTTTTTGATCGTTGTACGTCATCAAGTGATTTGTTCAGCTGAAAGCGCACCGCATGGGGGTAGTTGTCTCAGACTGAAATATTACACGAGTAGCATATCCCATGTCAACTTCGAAGACGCTGCTACGGCGCGTCACGACAACGGCGATCATCTGTTTCCAGCCTTGTCCATTTCCTCCTTAATTTTCACTGTATTAATTTTCTGAAGGTGAGTTGTTTTTTGTCTTTATGAACTATACCGCGACGTAAATCTTTTTTTTGTAATGTGGTGTTTTTGCGACTTCTTTAGGTATATGTTCAGTTGTTATTTAATTGTTCGCAAGAATCAGGGAAATTACAGTTTTAATTCACCTTGTGAAGACCAGGAACAATCAATCCTAGTAAAAACAGCCAGAAACAGGGAGAAAATGGCTAAATGGGCTGGAAACAGCTGATCGCCGCGGTCGTGACGCGCTGCAGCCGCGTCTGCGACCCTTTGACCGCCTAATCAACTGCCCGGGTGACGACTGTAAGTGGCTCACCTCGGAGCTCCCTCCTCCTGAGCAACCGGACAACCTGGATCGCCACAATTTTGGCACGTTTCGGAGCTTTGGCAGACGTTGTCCACTCGTGCGCGTTTCTTTGTTTCGCAACCGGACCGTGCACAGCAGTTCAAGATGTCATAAACTACTGGGACTCCGAAATTATTGCATCGTCCGGTGTTCATTGTGAGAGATCCAGTATCCTGGTCAAGTGTGATATTCACTTGTCATAGTTCCATTTCTTATCGAACAACCCGATTTTTCATACGCTACTAAGATGACCCTCGAAAAGGCCATGTGCAGGCCCGGCTAATGTTTGATTCCTTCCACCTTTTGCTTCTTGCTGCTTCCCATAGACGTGTCGACCTATCTAAACTGCCCCTTCTCGACTTGACAAGCTTTACCCTGATGACTGAACAGCTATACTGTGAATCTGAGTTTTTTGCGTATCCACGTTGCTCGAAACTTAGCAATATAAGCTGATTAATGTCTCACGCTGATCGTTATGAGAGTGTAGGCATCGTGGCAGCTTTGGCTCATTAATAGCAGTCTAAGGCTGGGACTCCTAGCGAGATCAGTCTTATTCAAGGCTATGTTCATCTCCAATCCATGTTTATCACTTGTTTCTAAATTAGTCATGCGAAAGAAACGAAGTTCGCATTAAAATATCCATGTGACAGCCGGAAAATGTGATCTTCCCCACAAGTGAATTTTCGTCTCCTTTTAAGGTTGATCAGACTCCACTCTCCAAACAAAAGGTTTTGATCGGTGTTTTATTTCAGCTTGCTCCAATAGTGTCAGCTTACTGAAATATTCAGGCTCAGGTCTAGGCATTCTATCGATGGCGACTCCAGGTCACACCAAACAGGTCAAGCCCTGAGGCGAAGTACCAGCGAGCAATAATGAAGGATCCACCCCACCTCAAT